GAGGATGAGTAGGAGGAGAAGGAGGAGGAAGAGGAGAAGGGGGAGGAGGGGACGAGGAGGTCGAGGATGAGACACCGCGAATCGCGAACCACGAATGACTTCGCGCCCTCGTGGCGGCCCTTGGATTTTTCTTGAACGTGTACGCTGAAGGCGACAACTCAGTGAAGGTCTTCGTGGGGTGCGAAACAAATTGAGCCGATCTGCGAATCGATGAAAGTCAGGCTGGGAAATATGAGGTACTGGGCCCGATCAGAGGAGACGAATACCAAGAGGGTAACATTTGTAAGGCATCAGGTTGCGCATCGACAGCTCCAGAGGCGGCGCGCCTCGGGCGTTCCGCCCCACAGGGTTGGGGTGATGAGGCCGTTCTGAACTACTCAGGGGGCCTGCTGAGGCCAGCTGGGACTACTCGGGGGGCATGTTGAGGCCAAACAGGAGTACCTGGGGCGAAAGCCTTACTAGTAGCACCAGGAGGATACAACATCCCAAGAATTGCAGCATACAGTGCGGACGCGGCCCCAAGAAACCCTGACAAAAACCCAAACCTGAAAGTCCGCGCACGACGTGGAATTCAAGGGGTAACTCAAGGCAGCCCCAACGCAGTAGATTCTCAACGTTGGCGGGAATGCCGCACAACGCGCGCACTGAATTCGCCAGCCCAAAGGGCCAGAGGCGTGCTACGACCTTTGGTAACAAGTTCGCAGTATTTCTAATTCGCGCGCGCGTGGCGGCCCCTGGGGACCCATGGACGAAACGTACCCCGGGCGATGCCCAAGTGACGCCTGGGCGATGCACGGGCGATGCCCGTGCGATGCCCGGGCGATGCCCGGGCGCTCTAGGAGTGCGCCAGAAAGGCGCCGGGACGCCCCCTTAATGTTTTCGCGTAGTGTGTTGGGCCTGTGTGTTGTGTTGGTGTAGTATGTTGGCGTAGAGACCCTGCGTGGTGTATTTGCGTAGTGTTTTCGCGTATGGTATTAGCGTCGCCGTTTGGCGTGCAATGCTTGACCAGGAAATTTGCGTAGTGCATTTCGCGGAGTGCCTCGCGCCCGTGGAGTGATGAGCTTTCCGCGTGATGTTGTCGCGTAGTGTTTCGTCGACCCGCAAACTCTAGAAGGGATTCAGAACTGCGAGGCCTCTACGTAGTGTAACTACGTAGTGTATTTGCGTAGTGCCTTTACGTAATGTATTTAAATCGTGTGTTGCGCAGCGTACTCGCCATATTGTAGTTTACGTAGTGGGTTTGCGTATTCCTGGGGACGCTGCCGAGCACCTCGAGGCAATGCTGGAGACGTCCGTGGTGACGCTACTGTGGCGGGGGCTGCGTCGTGCTCCCCTGCGCTGTGCCGCGCCGCACTGGGACGTGACAGGGAACGCGCTTCGAAGTGCATCTGCGTAGTGTAAACACGTCGTGCATTTACGTAGTGTTTGTTTGCGTAGTGTTTGGTTGCGTAGTGTCTGTTTCATGTTGGAGCTTCGTGCTGGTGTATCATAAGATACGAAGTGTATCTACGTAGTGTATGTGTGCAATGCATCTACGTGGTGTACGTGCGCGGTGTATTCACGTAGGGTATCTACGTAGTGTATTTACTTAGTGTGTTCACGTAGTGGATTTACGTAGTGTATTTACGCAGTGTATTTAAGTAGTGAATTTACGTAGTGTCGGGTTCAATTTTAAGCGTGCTTTATTTCACTACTAAATTTCTAGATCACGGTTGAGCATCAACGTTCACACACACACACACACGTGCGAGCGTGCCATCCATCGTACTGGAAAATGTTCGGGAGGAGGGGGAACAGGAGAAGAACAGTTTCCAAGGTGGGGCAAACACACAATCTTGTGTGCCTCAGGGAATCACCTCAAGGGGCATTGCATGCGCGGCAACACTGCGCCCCGAACCGCCCTGCTGTCGTGCATCATGCATTGCAAAGAGTACGATGGACAGAGGACAGGACGCAAAGAGGGAGGAGGGATAAATGCCATAGAGGAAGAAGGGGAAGAAAATGGTGAATCGGGGGGACACGGGAGGATGCAGGAAGGGGGGGAGTCGAGTGGATCCAAGAAGGAGAAGGAGGAGGAGGAGGAGGAGGAGAACGACGACGACGACAAGGTGTAGCACTGGGGAGTAGGATGAGGAGGAAGGGGAGGAATGACATAATGCATGAACGATGGGCGAAGGATAAGGACAACAATGAGGGTGCATGATGACGATGGGGAGGAAGAGGGAGAATGAGGGAGGAACAAAATATAAAGACCATCAATAAGGGGCAGGAGGAACATCAACTCTCGGATGAGAATGTGCGGCAATAGTCCAGGGACCAAAATCCAAGGAATTCCGCACGCCCGTAGCGGAATAAGCCATGCGCAAGCCCTCCACGAGTGACGACACGACGGCTGCTGTAAACGTCTGATATTTGCCTGCAGCTCACACTTTGGATCAGAACAGCTCAGACTCACACGCAGCACTGGTAGGCATCACGCTAGGGCACAGCCTGACCACACGCAGGACACAGAGCGGCACACAAGTGAGACAGACCTTGCCACAACCAGGGCGCGAGCAGTCCCGACAACTAAGACCTGTCCTCGAGGGACCTCCAAACCGCATCATCAGCCTGTTCTGCGGCAACTCACGGGAGCCTCCCGTGCCATCTCATTGGCTCTTGCGAATCGACGCTGATCGACGCCAGCCGACGTTAATCGACGCTACAAGTACGCTAATCGATGCTAGAGGGCGCTAATCGACGTTTAAGTCGGCGCTACCTCACCGATCACCAAACGCTAATCGACTCAAGGGCACTCTGAAGGCGAACTTGCGAGGGTATACGGCCAGACTTAGAACATACTTACATCCTTCAAGAGCATGACGCCGGCCAACCTGAAGAACAGTCCAGGACACCCTCCCCCAAGACGCACACGAATATCCAACAAGCACGAAGAACATTAGGGTACCGTCCCCAAACCGGCCTCGATCTTTTACCTCGGTCCGACAGTACAAGGCTCCCATGATTTGCTATCGACGCCATGCCTGCGAGTGTTGTTGATGGCGACAGGCTGCCAATAGGCCTGGACGCCCTCGGTAGAAGGCCGAGAAAACTGGTATGGGGTTCGGAAGAAACCTCCCTAGAGCAGCCTCGTGGCCAACACGGGAGGGAATCAACTGTGAAAAGCCGCTGCAGGGCAGCTCGCAGCCGAGGGGGGGGGACGGCGGCCATCGCACTTCCGCACCACCGTCAGTGTGCAGGGGGGTGGAGACCCTCACAAGAGCCAGGGCATATCAGCGCCGCGCTGACAAGACAGGACAGGGGCACGCTTCGAAACCCTGCCTGCCAACGCCGCGCTCAGCGCCCCACCTTTGCCGCCGACCCGGCGCGGTCCCTGCCGCGCGCGTCACGGCTGGCCCGCCGCCCCCGCGAGCGGAGGGGGGCGCGGCGCCCCTGCAGGACACGTGCTGTGCCGTCCCCCCCTCGGGGCCGCCGGCCCGGACACCCGGCGTCTCGAGAAGATCGGGGCGGACGTTTTTCATAGGCTGCGGCCTCCAGGGGCCCTCACCGGGCCTCGGGACCGTAGGTGGGCAAAGAGGTGGAGCCCTTGACTCCGCCCCCCCCTCCCCCCAGACTCAAAGTTGGTCCCAGGCATTCGGCAGCACAGGCGTGAGAGGACAAAACAAGTGGAACCACCAGGGCCTCCGCGAGGCCCGACCGAACTTTGAATCTGGGGAGGGGGTCGAACCTGGCGGGGTTCTGCCTTTTCCCCATCGTGCTACCATGAGCGTGTTTTTGCTCATGCTCGATAGCGGGGCGGGGCCGGTAACCCCACGCTTCGCGGAAGTGCCGTCCGGGAACGTCTAGGAATCACCAAACAGGCATCTCGGAGGTCAACCCGAATCGTAAAAGTACCTGGGGGGAGGGGGCGGCCGGGGCCAGTAACGGCCGCCATCGCGAGCCAAGAACCAGAACGCTCTCCATGAGGCACGCTGAGTGGGGAGCGGAGGGAGATGCTCTGGCCACGGCTAGCCTCGGCCACGCAAAGGCACTCAGATCTATGTAAGGATCGGGCCGAAACCAGGGCCCCTCTCCCAGACCCCCGGCGCATGCCTTGTTCAGGACGTCGACCCCCCGAGGTCTCGACCCTTTCGCCGGGGCCAGCCTTTCGTCCCGAGTCGTTGTCTGACGCCCCCGAGGCCCGGCAAGGGCCCCCCCCAGAGGCCAGGAGTAGCGAAAAGCCTCCCGTCGTGATCTCTCTCCCTGACTCGAGGGGGTCCGGGCTCGGAGGAGGGCGAGCTGAGACAGCGGCCGCTCAAGATCGGCCCCCAGATCCCTGCCGGGGTCCAGAGGCACCAGCGTCCCGAGCCGCTGGGGAAACCAAAAGGTACCGCTGCTGCCCCCCCCCGGGGACCTCTCCTGGGGTGCGTTCCGACCAGAATTTCGAAGCGAATCCGGCGGTGGCGACGAGGGCCTCCCAAAAAAGGGGAGGACGGCCGAAGGGTCGCAGTATGGTTACCTTTTCCTTCCAGGGCCGCGCCCAGCTCCCACCCTAGTTAAGGCCGACGGGCCGAAGCCAGAGCTCCTCCCCCACACACCCCGAGCCTGGAGTATATACTCACTGCTCAGGCGCCTTTTGGCCTTGGCCTTGTGCCTCTGCGTCCTCCTTCCGTCGTCCGCAGACCCTCTCGAGCCATGAAAAAATAGCGACGGGAGGCGTTTCGCTCTTCTTTGGCTCTGGGGACCCTCACCGGGCGTCGGGAGCGTCAAAAAACGACTCGGGATGAAAAACAGGTCAGGGGGATAGGTCGAAACCTTTGGGGTCGACGTCATGATGAAGAAATCATGACGTCTCGGGTCTGGAGTTGGTTCCCGCCTCTCATCCGCTCGCAGCCACGGCCAGTGCCCGCGCGCAGAGCGAGCCGCGACCCACCCGCGTCCGCCCTTGGTGGCGCGGTCCTTTCGGAAGGGCTCCAGCAGGAATGGTGGGGACCAGCCGGCCCGTCGCCCGAGGCGCGAGCGTCGTGGACGAGGACGTGGATTGCCGCGGGGAGCACACCTCGTTGGTCGTGGGCGGGTCTGGGACGGGGGTGCCGCCGAGGTCGTCCCAGTCCTTGGCGCGCGGTCAACGTGGAGAGAGGTCGCTGGGGCGATGGCCTCGGGGGGCCCGAAAGCGGGCCCGAATGATGGGCCGATCTTCCACCACCGCTACCGTGGGCAGGAGAGGGAGGAGGAGGAGGAGGAGGAGGAGGAGGAGGAGGAGGAGGAGGAGGAGGAGGAGGAGGAGGAGGAGGAGAGGGAGGAGGAGGAGGAGGAGGAGGAGGAGGAGGAGGAGGAGGAACGGGAGGAGGAGGAGGACCTCTCCATCTTCCCTTCTCCCCCGTCCTACGTATGGTAGTGGTGGTGGAATGTTGGCCCACCACCGAGGCGAGGCCAGGTTATCGGGGCAGGAATCGCTACGCGCAACCGTGGTTCGAAAGCACTGCGTGATGGCTATGGTGAAGGGGCCAAGAGACACACACACATAAATACATACAAATCCCAGGATTCCCAATAGTTTAGCATATGTTCTGGATTGTCGTCTTCCCCCCACTTCCCATGTTTTCCCATATCTTCTTGGGGATCGCTGATGAATTGTGTCTATGTGTTTGTTCCCCTCCTGATATCGGGCTGGGTCCCTGGAAGCTCGCTCCCCCGCGCGGCCCACGTCCCCCCCCCCTCATTCCGCCACTCAGCTCGGCGGAGCCGCCCCTTCCCCACCCGACCGATGGTACTGGGGCATCTGGACGGACAGAATCTGCTTGCGTGGCGCACTCCGAGTGGGAGATACGTCTAGCCTGCAAAAAGAGGCAGTGCTCCATTGGACACCACTCACGACTCGCGGTGTGCGCGTCCACGACGGACTGACAACCTGCGCTGGCAAATGTCAAGAGTGTGAGTGGCCCGGATACAACGAGAACCCACTGCAGAATTACAAGTAGCTTCTGGAGCTGAAGCCTGATACGATGGGTCCTTCCTCGTCTGCCCATCACCCTCCCTCGTCCCCTCTTTTCTTCGACCCCTCCTCCTCCGCCTCAATCCCAGTCGCCGTCCTCCTCCCTCATCGCCCTCTTCGTCCTACTCCTCCTCCTTCCCCTCCTGCTCCTGCCTCTGCCGATGCTCCTCCCCCTTCTCCTCCCCCATCCCCCTACCCTCACAAGCGGCGAACGCGATCGGGCAACAAAAAAAGCCCAGGGCCCCGGCCCGCGAGGCCGCGGATACGAATATGTTCCGCGGACCGCAGCAAAGCAAATATAGAGAAGAAGGTCGTCGGCACTGGCAACGAAAGACGTTTGGCAGTTCCTCCGCCACTCCACGTTCTGCCATCACGGATGGGCGGGCGGCATAGCGGATCCGGATCTTGTGGATGGGAGAACTGTTGAAGATGGTCTGGATTCTTCCGGAAACAAGCAGCTCCATATTTGCACCTCTCCTGCAACGTGAGCAAGCGTCAAACAACATGCATTATTCATGTCCGCATGCCATGCCGTACACTCGACGGCACATATCCTGAATACGTTCTTCCCACAAGTTATCATGCTCTTCACCCTGCGCATGCCTGAAATGCGTATGATGAACAACTGTGTTTTGCAGTGGCAATATTAGTACGAATGCTCGTGCGACGGCGTGGTGCATAGAAGACATGAAGTGAGGGTGTAGCGGCGTGGCAAAAGCGCTCTACATTGGACACCAGAAAACAGATATGGCAGCGCACGGTGTTACTGAACGCAACATATGGGCGGAGCTCTTGGTAGCGGAAGCAAGGGCACCCACATGAAAAAACAACGAGCGCACCAGGCATACAGTAACATGAAGCATATGGAATACAACGAGCGCACATGGATGTCTCCTGAGATTCAATGCGCAACTTCCCTGAACGATCGCTGCAATGTGAGTCCGATCTTGGCATCCGCGTGAGGTGTGCCTCAAGGTAGTCGCCACTCGAATCTGATTCTCAGGGTTTCTGGAGACGATCTCCATCACTTTGACCCCAAGACGCTCCACTATAACCCAAGGCGTCCACAAACCAATCACGGTGACCCTACACATGGACCCCAGGAGAGCCAACATCAGTCAGCCAGATCTTCGAAACCACGCGCAGGGGAATTCTATTGAACAGTGTGTCTCCCAATGCCCCCCCTCCGTGTCTTGAGTACCAACCAAGGTCACCCTTTCGAAAACCAACAGCGCCCCCGCCGGGCATCGGGACACGGGGACGGAAATATACGCAAGGAAGCACAGTCATCTGGCACTCGAACATTGCCTGCGCAGAGACAGCCTGTGGACGGACATAGATGAAGTCATGACGTAACGTGTTCCATGACTGTGCAGGGATGGCGGCGTGACAATCATCAAAAAGCAATTCGTACCAACATCACGCCCGCTGTTGCGCGATCAAGCGGTAAGCTGAGAGACGCCACTGGGCGAAACAAAGACATACACAATGCAATACATGAAAACTTGGATGGCGCATGCTGCGGTCCCGCTTCTTCTCCGCAGTTCCAGTTTTCTTCCTTTCGGTATCCGCAACGGCAATGTCAGAGCGTGCTGCGTGACATCTGGTACTGACCTCCTTCCCCACCAGGTAACTGCAAGCATGGGCCGAGACATTCTCCATCACCCGTCATCTTCAGCTGGAAGTGCCAAACGCCCCACGTTGGACGTCCTCGTCAGCGGGGCCCTGGCACTTGAAAGCAAACCTGCGCTCCGAACCCCGAGTCTCCGATTAATCACAATACTCCTGGCACACATGTCCGAATATGGCAGGACGGAGAACACATGAACGTAGCAAGCACAAGCAAGCCAATATGACGGCGACATGCATAAGAGGTCAATGACACACTGTGACAAGACATGACAGGACAACCGCAGGACGACGCTGACAAAGAATGGCTTCCCCCGACACAAACCCGACCCAAACTCCCGAAGGACCGATTTTCTCTACCCCGTGCGCCCACGATGTCTCGACGCCTTCCCCAGGGCGACCCTCTTCCTCCTCGCGCACCACCTGGTCACAAACAGGAGGGACGAGGGAGCAGGAGCGCAAGGAACTGAGCGCTGAAAACCGTCGCCGGCACATGTTGATGGCAGCCTGCGTCGCCGCTCTCAGGAGGCTGATGCATACAAAGGAGGCCTGAGGAAAGGAAACGGCGTGCCGCAGTGTGCCGAGTCCCGTGTCAGCTGGGCCTGCATAGCGAGCCCAGTGCACGTATGTGCGATGGGAAAGGGTGGGAATATGGTCTTTGCTTGCGTGGCATATGTGAAACGCACAGACACTGGCTCAAGATCTCACACCCTTCCGTGCCATGGTCCGAGGGGCTCGAAAGTAGTGAGAAATCGAATCAGATCCACCGCGCCACAAAATACAATCGCGAAAATGACGAGAAACATGCACGCGGGCACTCGTGGTCCAGCCTCCGCAAAGGCTTGCAATGTACGCCCAACGCCAGGCTGACCTCACTAGGGCAAAACACTCTCAGGCCAGAATCCAGCGCGCGACAAGGTTTGGCGGCTTGGAATATCCCCAAGCGCCGAGACGGCGGCCAATGGTGCGGTGAAGCCTGTCAGGGTACACCGACTGGACGAGAGACTGACCGACAACACACTGGATCTTTGGCTTCCTGTTCTGCACCTCGGCCGCCCTCGCCGCCTGCCGACCCACAGCTCCCGCTCCCTCCCGCGTGCGGAAGGGGAACAAGAGATGCAAGGCGGAGAGAGCGAGCAGAAACGGCGCGGCGAAGGATGAGGACACGAGAAGCGGCACGCACAGACTCGCGATGCATTTGGACGATAGCCTGCGGATGCTTCCAGCACGGTGCGCACCATTCCCCTGCCGCCCAGCGAGGGGCCGAGAGAGGAGGAGGAGGAGGAGGAGGAGGAGGAAGATGATGATGATGGTGGTGATGATGATGATGATGAGGAGGAGGAGGAGGAGGAGGCGGAGCGTACCTGGGGGAGGTCGTCGTCACTCTACTCATCTGCATGCCCTCCGTGCCGCTCTCCCTGCAAGAGCACACGGCAGGGGCCTTCACAATGTTGTGGCGGCCTGCTTGCAGTCAGGGGGCCCGAAAAGGAGGCCTGCTCCGCTGCAGACAGCACCCTGATCCCTGCACAGTTGCGGGGCATATCATAATCCACGAATCGAAACAGGGTGAGGTGGGGCGGGGACGAGGCATCATCGGAGCGAAGGGAACGAGGGGGAGAGGGAGCCGACTCTGGCGAGGCTGGAGTTTGAGGCCCGCCTGCAAACATGGCCTGCTCTTCGGCAGTGATCATCCTGATCCCACTGGGATCGCGGGGCAAATCGTAATCAACGAACTGAAATTCAATGAGCTCATCATCGCGACAGGGATTGGGCACTGAGGGGGGATCAGGAGGGATCGAGGAGAGAGATGGCTGAGGCGACGCAAGCAATGGGAGACCTATTACCTCAGAGCCCCGAGCCTCATTCATGGGGTCGTCCTCCTCGTTGGCTCGGCGGGCCGCTTCGATTGCCTCACGCAGGGTGGGCCGACGAAGAAGTGCCAGCTGCTGTCGTCCACGAAGAGGGAGCCTCAGCGCGATCTGCGCAGCAGGGACCAGCTCCAGCGCCCGTGCGTAGGTCGGCGGGGAACAGTGCCGTGCCGCCATCAGCCGATAATGGTGGTAGCAGGCAATGAGAGAGGCCGGCGTCGGCCCCAAAAGCCCAAGTCGATGCCGTATCTCGCCAGGGAGATCTTCACGAAGAATGAGGGCGCCGAAGTGCGCACACCGATAGCACTCCACCAGATAATGTCGCATAGTATCGGGACCTCCACACCCATAGATACACCACGCCTCTCGCTGCATACGTCGGTGAGTAATCCATCCCCCGAGGTACGACCGCACACAAATGAACGCCCACGATGCGGGCATGAGCTGCAGCTGACTGATGACCGTGGGCCAGCACACATTACGAATACCAAAGTGCTTCTGCACACGGGCGGCGAGTAGCTCCTGGAGTCTGTCAGGGAAGACCGCCCGCTGGAAGATGTCGGTGAAAGCCGCCTGCCACTTGGGTGCTCGAGAAGGTGACACGCCTTGACCTTCCGCTGGCTCCGCAACACGACGGGCGAGGCTCCATGGGAGCTGACAGGGATTGGGTCCAGCACGAAAAAACTCGATCACCTCGTCGGGGACGGAGGAGTCGCCGCTTCGCCAGAGACTTAATGCCATTTGTCCTCCCGCTCTCAGCAGTTGGGACGATGGAAAGCCCTTCGCTGCCTCTTCCAAACGGCAGGCAAAAGGTGGGGCCAACCAGAAGTTCGGAGCCAGGACGTCACTGGTAGCTTGGGAGAACGTGCCATATTCCCAAAGAAGATCACGATGTCGTTGCAACTGCAAGCGCCATGTCGAACATGTGATCAGAGCCGCACGAAGACGCGCAGCGGCAGCGATGCAGAAGATCGAGCTGAACCTCGGGCCATTCACCGTGCTCAGCGCGAAGCAGTCACCAGTCCGAAGCATACTAGCGGGAGCGCGCATAATGCGGGCAAGCAGAAAGCGCTGCTGTTGCCCAACCCGCCAATGAAGAGGAACCAGCTGAGCAACGTACGACAGCGTGGGAGCGGCTCTTTGACGATCTAGCGCGGCAGCCGTGGAGAGAGCTGCGCCCTGTGACGAAATTGCGGTAGTGCGAGTAGCATGCTTGAGAACAGGAGTCGACCATTGACTGTCATCTGTGGCTCCAGGCCCAATCTGAAAGCCAAGATAAGTGCACACAGGAGCATTTGCGAAATCTGCCCATGCGGGGTCGGCTCCCACAAGTTGGCGTCGAAGTAGGGCTCCGTGTTCGGGCATAGATGGGTCACGCAGAGGTATCACATTGCATTTTGCAGGCTTAAGTCGTAGCTGAGCAAACCTCGAAGCATGTCGAAATACTCGAGCCAAACGTGGATACGCCCTGTTATGGAAGACGACTGCCCCAAGACCGTCTGCACAGGCACGAATGACACCCAGGAGACGCCCCCGTGCGACCAAACAATGTTCTAAGTCCAGGAGAAACGGATTGCTCGCGACGACATAAAGCGAACCACTCAACGGACAGCCCTGAAGCACCCCCGAGTTCATGTGGTATAAGTACGTCGGGGAGTCGCTAACGAAGTAGCATGGAGTGCAGTGGTAAAGGGAGCGGATAGCGCGAACCAGAGGGGCAGGAATCCGAAGTCGGGCGAGACATTGGAATAGCCACTCCTGGGATACCGATGGGAAGGCCTGGGCGAAGTCAAATGCAATCAATGACGGAGCTTGGGGGGACACAGCAGACATAATACTAGCCGAACGAGCGTAGAGATCCAAATCGACAATATTATCCAAGAAGTTGCGCCTCCGAATAAAGCCCCGTTGTGACGGGGCCCCGATCTTCTGCGTGATCCAGCTCATAGTCTGGTTCAGTACACTGCACACCACTTTATTCGAGGAGTTCTTGAGTCCCAACGGGCGGGTATCACCAGGGGCCCGTACAACGCCACCATCGTCGGGATCATGGGAGGGGGCCTTTGGGTCCTTGGGGAGGAAGACGGCCAGCAGCGCTGTGAAATTGGAGGGCATGAAGTTCCCAAGAGCAATCCAGCGAAGAACTTCAAGAAGGACCCTAGACCCCGAACCACATCTCCAGGCCGCATAGTGAAGCCCGTCGGGGCCAAGAGCGGACCAGTTCGACTGCTTAAGTGCACGTTCTACATCGCGAAGGACGGGCGGGCGTACATCTGAGAAGTCCTCTGAGCTGCTGAATCTGTCTATGTATTCCTTGGCGATGGAAGGGACGGAGTGGGTCTTGGAGAAAACAGGGCCCCAATATGAAGCCAAAGCGTCCACCATCGGGGACTGGGAAGGAGGTGCAGGTTCCGCCGCCAATGAGCCACCCGCCAGCATCTCCGACACCGAAATCATCTCAGTGGCCGTGACCGATGCTAGATACTTACGCCGAGAAAGTGGGTTCCATAACTGGGCAGATCGAATGATAGCACGACGACGCCCAGCCAGACGAACCCTGACCGTGTTAGATGACGACTGGTTGATCTCTGACTCAAGAGCTTTCCGACGAGATTCAGCTTCTTGCCGCCGCCATAAACTATGAAGATCATGGAAGCCACCGGGATCGATGAAAGACACATCCTCACCGTCTACACTTATGAGCCTCTGCGTCCAGGGGTGCTGGAAGAGAAGAACTCGTGCAAGACGGGCGTCACCACGCCAGACACATCGTGCAACCGAACGAGAAATCATAGCCCGAGAGGTCAGACAGGATGGCGCAGCACGGCAGATGGCATTGCGTGCAAGAAGCCCAGCAGCTTGTCGAACAGCGGTGGCAGCAGCGAGCATTCGCGGCGGGTCGAAAGCAAGATCTTCGATGCCCACCTGGGCTTCCATATGGGAGACCAACTGAGCATAAATCTTGTCTTTGTACACCCACCGCGGGAGGGGCCTCTGACGTTTGGTTCTAGTGTGATCCCGAGGGCGCCAGACGATCTCCAGAGGCGAATGGTCCGAAATACCTCGGTGGGCCAACTCATGAGGTTCGTCACGGACCGATGCTAGCTGAGCCGTTTGACACAGAAGCCATGGTGGGGATGCGACAAAGAGACGATCGATTTTGGACTCACAGGCAGTCGAGGCGTGCCAATGGGTTGGCGCCTCCGAGGCGAGCTCCGTCATGTCCCTGAAGATCTTCCGCCAGCTCGAGTCGCCAGGACGGGACGCCCTCGTAGAGCCAACCCGCAGGGTGGAGTCGCCACGCTGGTCCCCACCCACGTGCAAGGATGCTGATGTGGGCTGCCCCCTCTGCGAGCCTTCCGTCGACGCAGTACTGGGGGAGGCTGCAGACGGGGGAGAAGCTGAAAGAGACGACGCCGAAGAAGGGGTCTGACTCGGAGAACATGGCCCAGAAGGTGAAGTACAGGTGGCCACTGTTGTCCTCGACGATGCCGAACTCGGAGAGCATGTGGCCGTGGGGTTGTGACTTTGCAGGGCTGAATCCTGCCCCCCACGGCCCGACGAACATGGAGTACAGGTGTGCCCCTCGCCACGATGGTGTTCGATAGGCGTCGCAGGAATGTTGAAGTCGCCTGTGAGGATAACAGTGAACTTCATCGGATCATCCCGCACTCTTCGAAGTTGCGATTGAACACATGCCTGAATCTCCTTCAGGCCGTCGGCGTTGATGGCAAAATTGTGCACGTTCCAGTGGTAGATAGTGAAGTCGGCCTCTGAATTATGTATAGTAACTAGCAGCACCCGACCAGCGACGAAGCTCTTCCCCTCGGCTCGAACGCTTGGGTGCTTTGGAACGAGGGTGGCGACACCTCCAGTCCGAGGCGTCACCGACTCAGAAACGAAGCAAGAGTGCGTCGTACAGTGAATCCTCTGAAGAGCTTCTTCCATGGCACGTTCACCACCGTGGATCTCCTGTAACGCCACTACCTTGCCAGCCCCCATCAGTTTGCTCAGGTAGCTGAGCTTCCTGCTCAAAATCGCTGGTCTGTAGTGTAACAGGGCCCCCGTGTTCCAGGTCGTGAATGCCAGAAATCCCACACCAAACACTTCGTTACCCACTCCACCGTACTTCACGTGTGTCGAAGACCTGGCGAGCAAGCTCATTGGCTTCATCCCTGGACAAGCCAGCGTCGGCCAGTGCAGGGAGATTCCATTCCACCTTCGGCGTTCTGCTTGCAGGTAAAGGGAGCACCCGCACCAAGGGCTCCCACTTGGCCATAAGTTGACCATTGTCCTTGTCGAGGAATGTACGGATGCCACGGTCGGTGAGACCCCGTTGCAGCTTCTTGCAGGCAATCTCTGTGGCAACCATCTTTTTGTTCTTGTCCGCGGAGATATGGATCGGCACCGACTCAGTGCCCACGTCAACATGGAATGCACGCCACGACCCATTTGGCAGTCGGAGCTGCTGCTGGGCCTGACTCCTTCTCGATGAACGGGTTGCTTCCATGGGGCCTTGAAATGCAAGAGTAAAAGATTTGGTGACGTCATCTCCATGCAGTTCCACACCGTCCCCGAGAGGGACGTTTGCTTCGGTGAGCCAAGGAGCCAGGGCCGCCGCCACAGCATTCTTAGCCACAGCAGAGGGTGCCCGCACCGTGAGGATGGAGAGGTCCACTTCCCTGTCCCACTCTGGGTTCGGTACAACGGGAGGACGCGGCTTCGCCTTTGCCAGGTCGAGCTCTTTTTCCAGATGCGATAGCCGGTGAGCGATGCCCGCCACAGTGCTGTCGAGCAGGTCCGACCGAGCACGCTGTGCATGGACTTCACCGTCGACACGTCGTAGCTGCTGGTTGAAGCGCTCCTCATACTTCTCCATGAGTGGGACCGTGGCCGCGCTGAGCGCGGCAGGGAGCTGTGCCAGGATGGTCTCCATCGCTTTCTGTGTGAAAGCTTGCATGGCCTCTGCCTGAAATGAGTCCGAAGATTGAGCAACGTGTCCGACAGCATCATGAGATGTGGTTCCATTGGACGCAGCCGCCGTCGCCCAGGGATCAGGCGCACGGCCATCCGCAGAAGTGCCAGGAGTCGCCCATGGCCTTGAGACTGGTGGAGTCGGCCAGGGTGATGGGGAGGGCGAGGCCGTCGCTCCCCCAGTTGCATGAGGGGCCAGGGCTTGCGCCTCGCCAGCTGGTAAGGGGGTGGCGATGCCAAAGTGCTGTGTCCCGCAAGAGCTGTCGACGATGATGGGGGAGGCGCCACGGCCAGCACTGCGGGAACGCCGAGAGCCCTCAGCCGACGCATCACTGGCGGCGGGGAGGTAGCGGTCCCGAGTCCGAATGCGATCACGTTCGCGACCATCAGGGGCACCATGAGAATCACGAAGATCACGCAGCCGAGCCGAGGGTGAGGAGGCACGCGGGGTGGATGATGCAGAACGTGATGAGGCCGTCGTCGCCCGCCGTTCTTCCTTCGCCTTGCGAGCCTTTCGTTCATGACGACTGCCGCCCATGAGCACCTGCACACCCTAAGAACGAGGAGACTCAAGACGGCAGCGCGGAGCTCCCCGTCCAGGTCCTGAGAGAGGATGTCGGGCTGAACAGCCCTGGCACTGCCGCGGACTAGCGGTATCCACTCGTTCCCCTGCGGAACTCAACATCTTGAGCCAAAATGGCTACGGAGGAGGAGGAGGAGGAGGAGGAGGAGAAGAGGAGAAGAGGAGCAGCAGCAGCAGCAGGGGCAGGAGGAGCAGCAGGAAAAGCACCGTGATGACCAGGAGCAGGAGGAGGAGCAGGAGGGGGAGGAGGAGGAGCAGCAAGGCAGCCGCGTAATACCTCTGCGTCCCCAAAGGCCACACTCCTAACCGCAGCGTTTCGCACATCCCTATCCACACTGGCGGCTGCCCTAATTGGATTGTCAAGGCCTACGTCGTCGATTGTATCCCTTTAGGCCTAGCGCTGTTTTTGCCGGACGCAACGAGACCTGATCTTCATGTCCGAGCAGCGTAAAAAAAGAGGAGCAGCAGGAGGAGAGGGGAGAGGGGGGCGCCCCCCGACCCTCCCTGACCGTCGCTGGCTTGACGGCGGCCCAGAGCATCCTGTGGAGAAGAGCCGCGTGCGGCCCCCCGAGACGAAGCCAAAGCGAGGACAAAACCAATGAAGATAAAACGAGAATCTCTGAGATCCGGCGGGTCTGGAGGAGGTATTGGACGTCCGGAATGCTTCGGGAGCGTCTAAGCCCCGTTCGACCCACCCCGTGGCTCAAGTTGTGGGGGGCTGGGTCCTCCTGGCCTCAATCTCCACCTGCACATGGTACTTCTGGTCCGCCATCTGACCTTTGCGCAGCCACTCCTTCGCGCGCGCACGGCCGAGAAGGGTTCGGAGAAGAAGGGGTACGATGCCCAACAGCATGTCGTCCCAAACCAACGTCGCTGCTGCTAGGCAGGCTACGTGTTGCAACTCAAACAGGCAACGTCCGCGGCGACACCGACAGCAAGCCCCTTGAAAGATCAGCAAGAACTGCTGTGGGTCTTACCGTACTCATTTTGGGTGTACGAGCCTACGTATCCGCGATTCTACGCCCATCCCTCGTGGTGATCTCCTCCTCCTCCTCCTCCTCCTCCTCCTCATCCTCATCCTCATCCTCATCCTCATCCTCATCCTGATCCTCATCCTCATCCTTCTCCTCCTCCCCCTCCTCCTCCTCCTCCTCCTTCTCCTCCTCCTCCTTCTCCTCCTCCTCCCCCTCCTCCTCCTCCCCCTCCTCCTCCCTGCGCTGCACCGGCGTCGCCTTGCACGCGCCCGCCTGCGAAGAAAGGCTGGGCACAGACATCAGAGGTTTCTGCCCCTTCGGTCTGGGCCAGGGGCTGCGGCTCGCAAGATCGCCGAGTTTCAACGAAGAAGCTTCCGCACTCGACCTCCGCGCGATACCTGCCCCCCACTCGGGGCAACCTGGCGGGCGACGCCCTGGCGGGCGCGCCTCGGGCGCGGCCTAACCGATCCCTTCCGTGACGAGTACCTTCCGTGACGTCCCCCGCGCCCTCCAGGCCACCCTCCGGCCGCATACGTACGTCTCGGGGTGAGGCGAGGAGGACGTCACGGAAGGGAATGGCTTGCCAAGGGTCAGTTAGGCCGCCCCTGAGCGCCAGGTCCGCCGACCGTGCCCCTGCGTCAAAACGCTCCCTTCGGAGCCCTCCTGGCGCCTGAACCGATTCGGCCGCCGAGCGGGCCAGGCTCGGCGACACGCAAGCGTGACCCTTCGCGAGCATGACCTTAGGTACGCCGCCTTCGAGGGAAGCGCGGAGGGGGCAAGGGGGAGTGGGGGGGGGGGGGTGGGGCTGGGGGGGTGGGCTGGGGGGGGTGGGGTGGGGGGGTGGGGGGGGGGGGGGGGGGGGGCAAAACCCGAGCGCGCAAGCCGCTGCTATCGCGCCAGTTTCAGCAATCCAATATGGGGACCAAGTTTGCCCGCACCAAAGGTCACCCCATGCGAAAGGTTACTCTTAAGTGTGTAGCCGACGCTCGACCTCCGAGCGAACCTGACGTCCACAGCTGTGCTGGTGATGAGCCTGTTCGGCGGCCGAGGGGGCTCTGAGACGCCGAACGGGCTTAAAAAGAGAGAGAGAGAGAGAGAGAGCGAGCCCTTCGGTAATCCCAAACTGCCCATACCTCCCGCGTCTTCAATGCTGGCGGTCCAGCCCGATGCAGCTGCGTATGTAGCAGAGACACACGATTAGACATCCTGATACAACAAATCTTGGGGCACATTCTTCGTCGATGTTTGAGGGTCCTAAGATGCCCCAGAGCTTCTATTGGGTTCCGTGCAGGCGCAGCCAGAGCATTATACGGACCAGGTGCGCAGAGGCGGAGCTCCCAGCGGGACACGACCCGTGTGCCACGATCCCCAAACCCCCTCGTGTTGTGCAAAAATCGCAGCGAACGTTTTTTCGCTATTCTCGGCCACGGGGGGGCCCTTACCGGGCCTCGGGACCGTCAAAAAAACGAATCAGGGTGAGAAACCGGTCTCGGGGAAAGGGTCCAGACCTATGGGGGTCGACGTTGGAAAAATCACGACGTCTGGAGTCTTGGTCCGTGCGAGGGGCGGGTCCGAAGCTGACTGGGGACTGCAGGCGACGAGGCCCGCCTGTGGGCCCTGGGGGTTCCAGCTCAGCTTTTTTGCGAGCTCCCCTGTTCTGCTCGGAGGTAGCCATGTGCTCCGACCGCCCCGAAGCGACCGCCGACGCCTGCGACCAACAAGAAGACGCTCGGCGTGTCAACGCCTCTTGGCTCAGGCGCGCCACTCCCGATCGCGCCTCCGGGTCAAACAGTCCCTCAGCCTTTCCGGAAGGACCTTCTCAAACTGCAGATCGTAGACCGTGGAAGAGAACGGAAGACTCTCAAGTGGCGGTCTGGGTTGGGGGCGGGGCAAGGAGACGGGGCGGAGGACGAGGAGAGGGTGATGCGAAGGAGGAGGGGCGACGAGGGGAGGTTTGTGGGAAAAGGAGGAAGGGGAGGAGGAGGAGGAGGATGGACGGCCTCGAATCACCCGTGGACGGCAGTGAGATGTACTCTAGTGGAGCCTCGTGCGGGTGGGTGGGTGGGTGGGGAGGGGGAAACGTGGGCGGGGCAGCTTCGCCGACTGCCTTTCTGTTGCCCCTCCCCCCTTCACGCAGAGCCGTCACTACAAGCGCTCTTATTAAGGATATCCTGCAATAGTCCCAGTAAACGCGTTCGCACGGCGTCCAAATGGTGCTTCATTGGCTGGGCCTTGCGTGAATGTGAAAAGTAGAGGAGCCAGAGAGAGAGCGAGACAGAGAGACAGAGAGAGGGAGAGAGAACAAACAAAACACATCATGAGGGAGCGAGAGAGAAAGAGAGAGAGAGAGAGAAAGCAATCATTTCCTCCTGCCGCTACCCCTTCTATGTTGTGAGTTGTGTGAATGAGCAACCACGCGCCCCTCCCATTCCGTTCTCCCTAAGGACTCCCTCCGAAAGGGCTCCTTACTCACGTTCCCTTACTGCAAGCATCACTCTGAAGAAATCGTGACGAAAAGGAGTTGTCGTAAGGAACCCTTGCTACCGGTATCGCTGCGGGGATCCTCTGTGCTGCGAGCGCGAAGTGCAAGGGAGAGAGGCTCCCCCCCACGAGCATTGTCCTCGAACTCCCGACCCCACGCCTGTTGGCAATGGGCGGGGGCTCCATGGACATGCTCGTGGGGTCATGTTTTTCCTGCCGAATGGCCGTCCTCCGGGGTACCCTCAGACTGCCTATATAACCCCAAGACACGCTCTATGTTTAGGGGTCGGCATATAATACGTCTATGCTGTGGCCAGAATGCATGGCAGAAATTCGATACCTCCACAACACTACAATACAAGCGTACTTCTACAGTGACAAGGTTCTACAGCAACATCGGCCAGCACTGGGGTACTATTGTTGACCAGTAAGAGAAACAGACCACTACCAGCATACTACTACAGTATTACAACTACGACACTGCCAGGAATCTACCATTACAGCACTACCCCAACACGACAAAAGGCTAAAGTACGTGGGTGCTTCTACAGCACAGCACTACAATACTAGAGTACGGTTGAATATTCTCAGAATCCAATATTCGGGGTACGTCTGCTACTTCAGTACTGCAGCACTACTACTTCAGCGCTGCTGCAATATGACTACAGTACCAGGACTACGACGACGACGACGGCGACTACTACTACTACTACTACTACTACTCCTACTACGACGACTACTACTTCTTCTTCTACTACTACTCCTACTACTACAATTACTACTACTACTACTACTACTACTACTACTACTACTACTACTACTACTACTACTACTACTACTACTACTACTACTACTACTACTACTACTACTACTACTACTACTACTACTACTACTACGGCTACTACTATACTACTACTACTACTACTACTACTACTACTACTACTACTACTTCTACTACTACGACTACTACTACTACTACTACTACTACTACTACGACTACTACTACGACTACAACTATTACTATTACTACTACTACTACCACTACTACTACTACTACTACTACTACTACGAATACTAGCAGGTCTCAGAATTTGCAATACGGCAGCGCGTTTACCTTACTGGAGCACCTCGTTATGTGAACATTGCTAATGCACGACGAAGAGTACGACCGCTACGGCCAGCACTCGGGTACAACTGCTGCTACAGTACTGGGGTACTGCTACGACAACTGTAACTCTACATCGCTCTCTGCTGCAGTGCCAAGAGTACTACTACCAGAGCACGGCCCACACCATAGTGTAGCAGTACTCGCGTGTAACTACACTACTAGAGCACTATCAACCAGATTGCCAATGTTCAAATATTACATCCAGTTCCCGACAATTACTGCTGCTACACTATTACAGTGCAGCGATGTTCATAAAACACAACATACCACTGACATTGCAGATATGCTTCTACAGTACCGCCGTACTACAGTGCCACTGCTACAGCCAGACATAAAGTAATACCACTACTACTACCATGCTAGAGTACGACTACAAATAGTAGCAATACAACCCACTGCACACTTGGGGATATTACCACAGCCAACATTAAGGCACGGCTACCGTACTTGAGTATTCCGGTATCAGAGTTTCACTACTACAACTGCCAACGTGAACAACAATCTGCTAGTACGGTCCAGTACTACCGTGATTACTACGGCAATACTACGGTTATGGTATTCAGCTACGAATTTTACAACGTCACCACTACAGCACTACAGCACTTGAGTGCTACAGCAGTCCTGCGGTACTACGGCATTGGAGTGTTCCTACTACAATACTGTAGTATACCTACTGCAGGCAATAGTAGAATACTACAACCGTGCCAATGCGCCACTGGTTCTACAGTGCCAGAACTACAGTAGTACAACAAAATTCCTACAGTACGACCACTAAAGCACTACAGCCCGAGGACAATACTAATGCGCTCGAGTACTACAGTAGTGGGCAACTTACGTCTAGGACAATACTGCAGTGCTACTACAAAAGCACACGCGAAGAGTATAGGATTTACTGCAAAACCTGAGTACGACTACTACTACGACTACTACTACTACAACTGCAGGACAACTACAGTGCTGCCACTCCATGTATGCAATGCTACTACGGCAGTTCTCGAATGCTGCAGTGATAGAGCATTACTCGCACTAACCTGCTACAGTACGGCTACTACGACAGTCGGTACTCGAGCGCTGCTAAAACAATACAGGAGTACTAGTATCAAGTAGTACTGCGCTACTGTTGGTGCAAGAACGCAGCAATCAAGAAAT